CTATCCATGATGGTTGCGGAGTTTTGGTGCTTGTTAGGATCGAAGTTGAAGCGGCTCAGGGCTGTTAGGTGTTATATCTAATCGGTATCCTGTGCCAAGTTCAGATGTCTATTTGTGCGTCAAGCCCCTAAACCACCCTCAATCCNNCCCCCCCCCCCCCCCCCCAGGCCTAAACCCTCAATCCGAAGCCCGTAACCCTCGAGACCTCTGGCCAACACCCAAAAACCTCTACCTTTTTGACCCACTCACAAAAACGGGATGTAGTTGAATTTTCAGAGAGCCCCCCCCCATACCCCTCAATGACAGGTGAAGGCTCTATACTTTAACCTATATTCCTAAGAATAGAACCCTCAACTCTTGATTTTGCAATATCTAAAGGATCATGGGACTTAGTAAGTAGGATTATAGTTAGGGTAACTATACTTATAACCCCAATTAATGGACCTGTAACCTTACTTACTAAGTCCCATGATCCTCCAAGCACACCTCGAGCCAGAGCCCTAAATGGTCCTTACTGTCCCTGCACCCTAATTCCCTGAACACCTCAGGCCCTGAAGCCTGCAAAGCCCTAAACGCTTAACCCTAGTCCTAAATATTTCTTAGTATCCCTGAACCCTGAACCCTAAAGCACTAAGCTCTTAACATCATCTCCTACAACCCTAAACCCTCAAGCCCTAAAGCCCTAAACCCTACGACCCTAAACCCTTTATTGTAGATCCTGTTAAGGAACGCGGAAAAGAGGCCCTAGTCTAGAGAACTACCCATGTAGAAACCCTTATCGCAACCCCACAGTTGGGTCTTGAATCTCCCAAAAACCCTAAAGCCCTAAAGCCCTAAAAACCCGAAAGCCCTAAAGCCCTAGAAGCCCTAAACCCAAAACCCTAAACCCCAAAAGCCCCTAAAAGACCCTAAACCCTAAACCCTAAACCCTAAACCCTAAACCCTAAACCCTAAACCCTAAACCCCTAAACCCTAAACCTTTTTGGGCCTCGGAGTCTCCGGCCGAAGCGCGAAAAGTCCGCCCCTCCAGGGACGATGAGGCGGCAAACCTGACCAAGGCCCTGAATTTTAATCAGGATTTTTGGGAGCATCTTTCCATCGTTTTTAAGAGTTGTTCGTTTTTGTAAACAGATTTGTTAGTTTTTTTTTCGAAGCTGGTTCGAAACTTCGTTAAGGTGCTTTTAGGCTTCTTCAAATACAATTCTACTCTTTAGGGAGTCTTCAGATTCGTTCTTTTGGTCTTGGGGCTCCTGTAAGGATTTCTGAGGGGCTCCTTGAGAGGAGGGTTCCTGTAAGGCGTGTTCGGTGTTTGGGTGTATGGTTTTTCGTACATGGGTCGCACTGGAAGGCGGTGCTCGGAGAGATGTCTAATTTTGAAGAGGGGCCTTACCGGGTTTTGGGCTGTTAAACCGGGATTCTTAAGATTTCTACCGGGTTTTCTGGACTTTGGCATTCGTTGCAACTGCGCGTATTCGGCTACTCGCCAGCTTGATCGATGTACTCTAAGCCCTAAACCCAAAACCCTGAAACCTAAACCCTAAACCGTCCATGTTGATGAGCAGCTTGGTGAAGGGCCTGTGCTTGAAAGCAAGATAGCGGCCTAAATCATTACCCATACTATTTTGATTGAGGGTTCCTTATTAGTATATTTAGAGTATAATATACCCCAACCCCTCTATATTTCTTTCGTGCTTGAGCGCCAGAGCGGGTGGGGCATGTTGGGGCATTCTGCAGTGGTTCTATCGTATGTTGGATGCTCGCAAGGCCGATTTGGCGAGAGCTAGCCGGTCATTCGTTGGACATTTGTGTTGTGCGCATGGGTTCCGGTCTAAATGGGTGGTTGTCAAAATTATGGTCCCTTTTTGGGTCCTTATAATAATACGGCACCTATTATTTAGGGTACCCAAAAAGGGACCATAATTTTGACAACTACCCAAATAGCCGTGTTTGGATGGTCCTTCCAATCAGTTGAGCTTCTCGTCAATGTGCTGTTGCACATGAGCAACACTCGCAGCCAACGTCGAAGGAGCCTGTAGGTAGGATCCAAAGCCTCAGCCCGAAAACCCTGAACCCCTAAATCCTAAACCCTATAATGTAGGGGCCTTAATAGCTAGAACAGGGTTTTGGGCTCCTTTCTAGTACAGTTATAATGAGAAGCCCTGAGGAATATTTGTGGTAGTTACTTAGGCTTCTACATGAAGCCCTAAGCCTTAAAATCCTCAAGCCTAGGATCCCTCTAATCGAGAGGCCCCGAGTCTGAAAGACTTTTGAACTCTCCGAAAATCCCTAATCCCTAAACCCTAAACCCTAAACCCTAAACCCAAAACCCTAAACCGTGGAGGACGAGGAGCCGGGGAACATCTGCTGGTTGTTCCATGGGGCCTCGATAGGGCGTTGCAGGGTTGTAGCAAGCCTAAACCCTAAACCCTAAACCCTAAACCAGAAACCCTAAACCCTAAACCCTAAACCCTAAACCCTAAACCCTAACCCCTAAACCCTAAACCCTAAACGCTTTTCCTCCGGGTTCCCTGTCAGCGAAGTAGCCAAGACCTCCAGTCTCGTTGAGTCAGGCAGATGTTCCTTAAATGCCAAAAAAAACCCCTTACCCTAAACCCTAAACCCTAAACCCTAAACCCTAAACCCTAAACCCTAAACCCTGCAGAGCAGACATCAAAAAGGCACTCACAAAAAAACCCTAAACCCTCATCTACAAGCAGGTGCACGAATTCGTGGGTGGAGGCTTCTGCCGGCCTGCAGGCACCTCTCAAAGAAGGGAGGGTTTAGGGTTTAGGGTACGGCATGTGGGTTGAGAGTTGAGGGGCAAGGGCAAGGTTTAGTGCTGAGGGTTTACCGTGCTGTGGGGTCGTGGACCCCTGTTTTGGTTCTGTCTCACTCGTTTTGCTGCGAGCGATCAGTGAGATGGTGATGGTGAGGCATGGAAGCGAACAGATTTCGGGTCGTAGGCTTTGGGGTTCTGAAGACTTTCCCGCTTCAGTGTGACCTTTCGCTTCACGTAAGCTCTGCGACCGTTGCTGAATATATTCGGTCTCCGACTTGCGCCAGTGTCCTACGATTTCCCGTCGTGGCCTTTAGTGATGGAGGGTATTAGATGACGCCGCTGTACAAGTTGGCCATAAAGACGCTTCGCGGCCACGCCGATGGCCTTGCCGGCTTCGTGGCGTTCCAATACATCGTCTTCAAGCGATCTCTTAGTGAGGTCTCCCTCCAGAACGGCTCCGTGATAGTTTGGTGCTCGGTGTTCGCCATCGCGGCATTCACTTGCAGCGCCGTGCTCGCGAGCGCGTCGTTTATGCTCGCCGACTACTTGAGGCGGATTGCCATTGACAAAGCCATGCCTGAGGGCTTTGGGCTCCAGCTCCCTGCCAAGAGCATAATGCAGAGCCGACTTGGAGTTTGCACGGTTTTCTTGGCCTTCGTGAACTTGGCATTGCTACTAGTGGAGCTGTGTCAGTGCGTGCTGTCCGACGGAATGCCCTTGAAAGACCTCCCTCTGGAAGGCATTCAGCGCGTGGTGCCGCTGGTGCTGTACCTCGTGAACCTGGCTGGACTTGTGCAGTCGCCAGCGATTCGTTGGCATGAATGCCAGTGGCTTGTGCAAAATCCGAGGCCCCTTCCAACCTTCCTGCTGATGGAAAGCATCGCACATGAGCAGGTTCAGTCATGGCAGGGATGGATGTGTCAGAAGATTCGGGCAGTCGGTCTACCTCCGCCAAGGGAAGAAGGCATCGAGCTCACATCCCGCAGCACCATCGCCGCGGTTGTGGGCGCCAGTGCAGCAGAGCAGGACACAAACCCAGTGGAACCTGACGTGTCTGACAAGACCTTCGGTGACCTTCCCGCACTGGTACGAAGAGCACCTGCTCTGATGTCTCATCGCCATGGAGCTCTGCCACTACACATGCTCCTAGCGCTCGTTTGCACGGCATCGCTCGTGTATCTCCCAGCTACACTGCTCCAAGTTTATCAGAGACTCTTCACACCCCAGATCAAGAACTTCGAAGTTCATGGAGGCAGATTCATCAAGGAGGAGCGGGGCGAGGTGAACTACTGGATCGTGCCAGACGAGGGTCAAGACCAGGTGCGGGTAATATGGGGGCCTAAATTCTTACCTATACTATTTTGGGGGTTCCTTATTCTAGTTATAGTATAATATCACCCAAAACCCTATTCTAATTATTAAGGCCCCTTTCTTAGGTGACACCGATTGCTATCGCGACTCTTAGTCGGGGTATTTGGGTGTTCTTCCGTGTTCTTGCGACACATGGATAGTTCTCTAAATTAGGGCCCCTTTTGGGGTCCTTGTATACAGGGTCCTTTTATAAGAGTGCCGTGCTATATTGGGGGTCTCAAAAGGTACCTTAATTTAGAGAACTACCTGCATGTGCGGGCATGGGACAGGCAACAGCGAGGGGTGGGGTGGGCATTTGGTATGGCCCTCGCATGGATCTCAAGGTTGTGGTGTCTTGAGCGAGATGATACTGTACCAGTTTAAGCAGATTCTTAGGCCTACGTATATGCTTGTTTTGCTCGTCCGATTGCCCACTTATCCAATCACCACATCGAGAAGCCTTGTGGAAAGAGAAGCAACTGCCGTATAGCCCATCCAGCTTTCCATCCTTAACCCTAAACCCTAAACCCGAAACCCTAAAGCCCTAAACCCTAAACCCCAAACCCCAAACCCTAAGCGGCACATCAGGAGGCCTCGCCGTAAGTTTAGGGTTTTCTCGTTTAGGGTTTAGGGTTAAGGGTCCCATCTACCCGTAACCACAACGAGAGGTTTTGGCGAACACGAAGTGCACTCTCCTCACCCTGGCTTGTTTGTCTTCGATCTCCGGACTTCCAGACTCACAAGGTTGACATCGAAGCCGGCACACCGAGATTCGGGCTGCAGCATCTCTTCAGCACATGAGATCGCGTGCAACGTCACGGATTTCCAGCGCTGGTGTGGAAATGCCTGTGATCTGTCGGTAGAGTTGTCCATGAAGTCTGGTTCGGGGCGCGTGGAGACCGTGGAAACCTCTCTTCGGCTGAGACTGGAGGTTCGGAGTGCAGAGGAGTTTCATCTCCATGAGGTTTTGGACCTTCAGCGGAAGATGGATGACACGGGAACACCCGAAGATCAGGTGGCGACCCTCCGACGTGCAAGGGATTCCTTGCTTAAAGAGAGCTACGATCTGTACAGGGGTCAGCAGAAGCGAAACCATGTGGAGCAGGCGAACATCCTCTTGACTGGTCTCACCGGGGCAGGCAAGTCGTCTGCATGTCGCTTCTTGACGATGAATGAGTCGTGCAAGTACTCCAATAGCTGGAGTTCTCACACGAAGAATGTCTCTGAGATGACCGGCAACGCCTTCGGAGATGAGTTGCAACCTCGCCTGCGTGTCTTCGACATTCCTGGCTTTGGCGACACGGAGGGCGAGGCCGTGGACGAGAGACAGTTCAGCGAGACAATGAGTCATTTGGCCGATGCTAAAGGGCTGGATGCCATCCTCTGGGTGGTAAACGGCGCCATCCGCCGTAAGCTGAGCCTACGCCAGGACATGCTGCGGCAGTACAGGAAAGCATTCGGCTCGAGATTTTTCGAGAAGCTCTACATCATCGTAAACTTCGTTCCGCGGATGCGGTACTCAACCCAAGAGGAGCTAATGAGCGAATGGATCAAAAAGCTCAGGGCGTTTCTGCTTGCAGAAGAGAAGGAGTTCATGCAGGATGCATGGGAGATGGTGGCAGACCGAGCACAGGGACTTATCTGCAAGAACCTCAAAGTCAGCATCGTGGACATGAACCCTGTGTATCTGGAGGAGGAGAAACTTCCTGTCCCGCTGTCTGCGCCGATGGTCCACCGCCTGCCGCCGTATTCCTTGCCGATTAACTTGGTGGAGTTGCTGCACACAGTTGCAGATATCGGACAATCCTCTGGCAAAAGGCTTGCTGTGAATGCTGCGTGCCCGCTCCGCGGCTATGGGGAAATCGACACGAGCCTCACGAGACACGACGCCCAAGCAACTCGGGATGGCCCCTTGTTGACGGTGAAGCTGGAGGGCCAGTTTCTCGGCTCGGGCGACAGTCTGCTGGCCCAGTCCTCCCAGTGGGGCTGCGGCCGCACGCCAGCTGAGACTGTGGTCTTTCTCGACCGCCTTGCTAACGAGACCGCGACTTGCTGGGCGCTGCTTCCTGTCAGGGTCGCCGAGTGGCCGGGGGTCAGGCTGGCGAGGCACCGGCGGAGCTGGACAGCCGGCAGGATCTGTCGCGACACTGCCAAGAAGCAGCAAGTCTGGAGCTGTTGCCGCACCTTTGGATCGAAGAGTACGAGTTCGTTCAGACCTTGCATGGTGCCCAAGGAAGCATCAAGGCACTTGTCTGGGATAGATACCTGACAACAGCGGGCGACAACATGGTGCGGCTTTACGCAGGTGGTTTGCTGGAACAATTTCTGACTGCGAAATCGGAGGCGGAGATCGTCTCATTAGCATGGTCCGGTCAGTTTGCGACGGGTTCACAGTTTCTTGCTGCCGGCACTGCTAATGGCAAGATTGCGGTGTATGGATTGGGTCCTGGCATTGAGGGCCTGGCAGTGCTTGATATCAAAGACCTCAGTGGTGTCACAGAAATGGCGTGGTGTCATTCTGAACTGGCTGCCGCCAGCCGTTACGGGAACGTGTACATGTATCTGGTTGACGATGACATGAGACTGAAGAGCTTCGCTAGCCTTCAGGGTGGTGAGACACCTATCACTGCTTTGGCATGTTTCGGGCGAAAGGTCGTTACTGTGAGCGCTGACTCCTTCGTGCGCAGCTACTCAGCCTACCACCGATTGCCCGATTCGTACTTCCAAACCTTGTTGACGCACCACGATATGGCCTGTGTGGCTCTCTCTGCCGATCTGAAGCTGTTGGCGGCCGGGAGTGCGGATGGGAGGGTTTGGTTGATCGATTTGATGCGTCCCCTTCAGAATGTGGAGCCCCGACATGATGCTGAGGAGCCTGTCTTCGCTGTAGCATTTTCTGAGAGGCAACGGCTGGCAGCGGGGACCCAAGACGGGCAAGTGTACGTGTATAAAGTGACTGACCAGCTTGACTTGCTCTCAGTGCTCAGTGCTTCCGTGCGCCCCATCAGGGCACTGGCATGGAAAGATACACGCCTCGCTGTCGGCGACGACACCAAGGTGCGGGTGTACGAGCGCTAGACAGTCGAGAGAAAAGGATGGACCAGGCCGTTCGAGCTTGATCCCCACACCCGCAGTTGGAGGTTTACAGGTAGTTACATGTGGAGTTATGACTCCTTCATACTCCTTTTCCAACATGGGGTACAACTGTTGTCCCACTTATAGCCCTATTCATATCTACCCATGAACCTCCAGGTGTGACCCTAAACCCTAAACCCTAAACCCTAAACCCGATTGGTCAGGCTGCAACGACCCGGAAGCTTTGTCCTGCCGTGTCACGGGCTATTTCAAGCTGGTCGACTCTTTGGCAGAATGCAGCTTGGACGTTTTTGTAAGGGGGTTCAGAGGGGTTTAGGATCCAGAATGTAGGGTTCTGTAAGGAGATTGTACACAGAGAGCCCAATACCCCTTAGCGAAGGAATGTGGATTAAGTCATTGCCCCTGATCCTAAACCATTAAGGTGTATTCCGAGTCAAGGGGTCTTGGGCTCTTTGGGTGATTCCAGCGGTTTAGAGCTCCCTAAGACTCTACGCCCTTAAGCTCCTAAACCCGCAGGACTTGCAACCCTACACCCGCAGACCCCCAGGACCCTACCCGAAACCCTAAACCCAAAGCCCCAGACCCTAAACCTGGAAATCTAAACCCTGAACCCTAAACCCCTAAACCCCAAACCCTAGCAGGACCCTGAACCTTCCAATCCTGAACCCCAACCCCCAAAAGCCTCAGCGCTGTAACAAGTTCTACGATTGTAAGAGATCTATGGAATGTAGGTTTTTGCGGGCTTAACGGCCTTAGGGTTTAGCCACTTGCGGGTATAGGGTTTTGGGCTTCAGGGCTTGAGGGTTATAGGGATTTAGGGGTTGCGGGGTTTCGGGTCTAGGGATTTTAGGGTGTACGCGTTTCGACTTCATGGATGTACGGTGCATGGGTCAAAATCGGGAGGGCGCCCCACAGTATCTCTGGAGCCTGGTTGGGGGTACTTGAAGGAGGTTCATGGGTAGTTTTTCGCGGGGTATAGGTCGGAAAAGTATAGTTATAAGTTATAGGCCTTTTTGATAGGACTTCCAACTGCACTTATATCTACCCATGAACCTCAAAGTAGTTCATAGACTTTCAGTCTTAATTTGTGGAGTAGGTGCGGGCTTCATCGTGAGAGATGCGGGGCCCAGTGCCCCTTACTTGAGGAAGATGCCACAAACCATAACAAGAAGCCCTAAAGAAACCATAAACCCGAAACCCCAAACCCTAAACCCTAAACCCTGAGTCACAACAAGAAGCCCTGCAGCATGGTAAGCTTAAGGGCTGTTCCTTGATCAAAGGATATATCGGGCTGCCGGGAACCCGAGAAAGCCACGGAAAGCCTTCTGCACGCACTTACTTGGAGGTTCATGGGTAGTTATAAGTAGGGTTATAACTAGGATAGCTATAGTTACTATAGTGAAAGCCACTTCGACCCTCCAAGCACCGCTTTATCATTGAGCCTTCATGTTTCCTCACCTTCAAAGTCCCATAGAGCACCATCAACATCATTGTTACAAAGCCACGAAAACACCCAGCTTGTACCCAAGAGCCTCCCTAAACCCCTAAAGAACCCCTAAACTCTTAAGCCCCTAGATCCCCAAACCCCCTTCTCTTCCAAATGCCAAATCCCAAACCCCTAATCCCGGGCCCCCTAGGCCCCGAAACCCCCTAACTCCTAAACCCCACAACCCCAAAGCCCTTAAAAGAAACCTTAAAGGTCCCTGTTAGATCCCGTAAAGGAACCCTTAAAGCAATCCCAGGAATCCTTTAAAAGGAGTCCCACCCCTGAACCCTAAACCCTAACCGCTAAGCCCCTCAAAGGAACCTCTTATGAAACCCTAGGCCCTAAACCCTAAACCCTAAACCCAAAACCCCAAACCCTAAACCCTAAACCCTAAACCTTCAAACGCCAAAGCTTTTGCCTTTAAAGGAGCCTCTAACTTGGAAAACCGAGGTCGGCGAGCTTGCGACAACAGTGCCTTGGGCTGGATGCAGGTAGGGGTTTAGGGGTTTTGGGGTTCAGGAGCTTGGGGGTTAGTTGAGGGTTTAGGGATTTAGGGATTTAGGGATTAAGGGTTTAGGGATGTAGGGTTTGGAGTTTTTGGGGGTTTGGAGGGTGTTTGATTGTAACATGGGTAGTTCCTTAAATTAGGGTGGCTTTTGGGGTCCATTCTATCAGGGTACCGTACTATTTTGGTGAGCTGGGTGTTTTGATAATAATTTAGGGTTTGGATTTAGTACAGTAGGGTTACTCTACAGGGATCGTAATATATCGCCCATTAAAACCCTTAACAACCCCTAAGCCCTAAAAGCCCTAAGCGCCCTAAAAGCCCTAAAAGCTTTAAAAGCTTTAAAAGCCCTAAAAGCCCTAAGCCTCTAAACCCTAAACCCTAAACCCTAAACCCTAAACCCTAAACCCTAAACCCTAAACCCTAAACCCTAAACCCTAAACCCCTAACCCTAAACCCTAAAAGCCCTGAGCTCCTCCAAGGCTCCAGCTGCATCGGCTACACTTTCATGGCGCGCGGAGACTCGGAGATCCTGGTGTCCCGGCGGCTCTGTTTTTTTAGGGTTTAGGGTTTAGGGTTTAGGGGTTTAGGGTTTAGGGTTTAGGGTTTTTGAGGGTGGCTCCTTGAAGGGGTTCCTTTGAGGAAGGGATTTAAACGGGATTTATAAGGGTTCCCTTTAGGTTTTGGGGGTTTAGGGGTTAGGGGTGGTTAGGGTTTAGGGTTTTAGGATTTAAGTTTAGGGTTTGGGCGTTGAGGGGTTTAGCAGTTTAGGGGTTGGGTTTACAGTTCAGGGTGTCGATGCTGTATATGGGTAGTTCTCTAAATTAGGGCGTACCGCATGCTGGGTGTACCCGATTTCTCAGCTGCACTGAACTCTTGCACCAGTATTTTCCTGAAAACGCATGTCGCTGATGTCGCTGCTTGGCGTTTCTGATTGTCTTTGCTGGGTTTCAAAGTGTGGACACCAACTTCGGGCAGCTCACATACGAGGCGAACACGTGCTATGTCCACATCAACACCATCATGAGACAAGATGTTCCCGATGGCTGGACACGCAGCTTGGACCAATTCCGAGATTTCTTTAAGCTAGGGGTAGCTACCCTAAACCCCAAACCCTAAAGCCCTAAAGGCGGAACCCTAAACCCTCTATTCTACGATTTAGGCTGCAGGATCCCTGAGTTTTGGAGTAGAGCATAATACACTCCCAAATCCCGGTTAGAAGTATTCAAACTGCTATATAAACCACGCATAACGCCCCAAGGCCACATAAAATCCACATAAATCAGGCGGTGCGTTTTGTTCAACGGGGCCTCAGAAAGGTTTCTACAGGGTTTTCTGTCCGGGTTCGTTTTTAGGGTTTAGGGTTTAGGGGGCTTCTACCTGGGTTCTACGAGGGTTCGTTTGATGGCCTCTTCGAGGGTTCTACCAGAGTTTCTACAAGGGTTCTGAGCGGGTCCTTAGGGTTTAGGAGGCCATGCGAGTAGGGTTACAATCAGGGTAACTACACTCACAATCAAGTATCACCCAAACTGGGGGTACATATCACCATACTTACTAAGTACCCTGAGCGACGTACCCTTAAACCCTAAACCCTAAACCCTAAACCCTAACCCCTATCATCATCATGGCCGTCCTCGTCATTATCACTCTCATCATCAACCACAGACCCGAAACCCGAAGCCCACCACCCGAAGCCGAAACTCTAGCCGTGCGACCCTTACAACAAAGGGCTTTAGGGTTTAGGGCTTAGGGTTAAAACTGATTCTTTAAGGCTCCCATATTTAATAAACCCCGTCGCATAGAAGGTAGGACCGTCTTAGCCCTATTCTGATTGTTAATGCCCCTGCAGTAGACTAAGCCCTAAGCAATAAACTTTAAACCTTAAACCTTTACCGTTGTATGGGGGGATGCAAACTGCGACACCTTTAAACCCTAAACCTAAACATAAGAGAAGTTCGCAAGCCGAACACCAAACCTACACCCTCAACCCTCAACCCTAAACCCTAAACCCTAAACCCAGGCTACCCGCAGTTCTATTCGAGCCGCTCCCTTGGCTTTCTACCACTCCTCCTTCATTTTGGGGGGTCCTTGGAAGGACTCCTTTCAAGGTTCCTTTAAGAGATTCATAAGGGTTCCTTCAAGGGTTTAGCGGATTTCGGATTTAAGTTTTGGGTTAAGGGTT